GGTGTAGTCCGATACACGCTCGCTCATCCGAAAAGGAGGAGAAACAGCCGAGAAATCACCAACTCAATCATGGGGGGTATCTGTGGTAGGGAGGGTGGGTGGGCGGGAGTGGGTGTCGGTGTGCTTGACTGATGGACGGGCTGACTCTCAGGTAGACAGATGAATCGATGAATCAATCAATGAGTGCACTCTCGCTTCCGGCACAAATGTATGCATACACGGGTCTCTCTGTCTGTCTGTCTGTATATGCCGCCACACGCACACGCACACCCAAACACTGCACCCAATAGTCCAACAAATACCTCAACACAACACGCACACACGTGGCCGCACGGCCGGATGTCTACACGAAAGCAGGGGGTCAAAGGGTCAATGGGCCTGGGGGCTTGACGAGGAGACGGGTCAGGTCAAAGGGTTTATTACCCTTTAACCCCACGAGAGAGAGGGAGGCCATTTTTTTGTCCGCCTTGTCGGATAGCTGTGCGTTTGCGAGAGTGCCGCACTCGGCCGACAAGAGGGCGAGAGGAATCACTCGAGTCAGTCGTCCCTCTCGGCTGCTGCGGTGAGATGGCGGGCCATTTGAGCTGACAGCCAAACAGAGGTGAGGGAGGCCGACCACTCACTGACTGACTCACTGAGGCGCTCACTGATCCATTGGCCTCAATGCGTTCGCCGTCCTTTTCTGTCGGCATCTCTCTCTCTGTCTGTCGGCCCATCGCAGCAGGCGTGTCGTTGAGGAGTGATGGCGGCCTCCTCATCTGCCGCTGCTGCTGCTGCTGCTGGTGGTGGTGGTGGTGCATTCAGTTCTCTGCCTGCTGATCTGTCCCTCTGAGCATCGAACGAGGTGAGCAGCACACAGATCAATGAGCAGCATGCTTGATGCACACGATCCTCTGTCGGCTCTGTCGATCTGTGCAGGCTGTCGTCGAGCACATCATAGCCACCCAGATGCAGCCACCAGAGCAGCAGCAGCAGCAGCACCCCTTCTCGTATATCTTCGTCGGCCGCCGCACCTTCTACCTCTTCAGCAGCATCAAGGACATCCTGCGGCTGAGGGCCACCTGCACGTGGATCAGAGAGCTCTTCGGAGCGGCACAGCTGAGAGATCGGCTCTGCCACTCGCTGGGCTCACAGGCGGGGCTGCGGCGGGCGGTGAATGGGCAGCAAGTGCAGCTGCTGCGGTTCGACGACGACCAGTTCGGCACACATGATCTGCTGGCGGCTGTGTGTGTGGTGGAGGAGGGGGGCTGGGTGGAGATCGGCGTGGTGATTGAGCTGGCGGGGCAGTGCGGCAGCTGTGACCTGCCTGTCATCCTCACAGCCGATGACATCAACACACACACAAAAAAACGGTGAGCCAGCAAAGAGAGGGGCGGGGAGGGGAGGGAGAGGGCCTCATTCTCGCTGTCTGTGTGTGTGTGGTCGTGTGTGTAGGCGTATGTGTCGGCTCCCCGTGTGTTGGCGCAGCTCAAGATGGTCGGCCACCACATCCACTTCGGTGTCGGCAGCTGCCTCCAGCTGTTCCAGCACAATGGTGAGGTGCGGGCCATCAAAGACGAGCCCGGCTTCCGGCTGGAGGTCGACCCGCCCCTCCCTGCCAACCACCTGTTCCTGCAGCACCGACAGCCACACGACCCACCGGTGCGCAGCAGCATCCTCTACTCGCCCGAGGACAGTGGATGGTCGTCGACCGGTGATGGCCCGTTCACCGACGCGTCACTGTCGTCGTTGGCCAAGTACATGGTCCTCACCCACTTCGGCGAGACTCACCAGACCAATGAGATGTCGATCGCACTCAACAGGTGAGAACACATCAATGGCACTAAAGCTGACAGAGATGCGCTGTTGACTGTGTGTGCGCCTGTGGTCGGTTCAGGTACGTCGGTGGCGGCCGTCTGAATGACCTGCTGACCGAGTCGCCCCATACACCAGTGGCCGGCTGCACCACGACACTCGGGCTGCACGGTGATGAGCGACGGCTGGTGCTGACCAACAGCAGTCATCCCTTCGTCGCATGGATTTGCATCACCAGATAAGCGAACAACACCGGTCAAAGTCACAGAGAGGGAGCTCTGCATGTCAATGTCATCAGTGTTCTCCGTCCCCTTGTGTGCAGTCTGGGTTAGTGTCTACACGACTGAGGCGGCTGTGTGTGGTAGTGGTGCCTTCAAGCACCGCTTCCCGTTGACCACTCAGCTGGGTCGTGTGGCGTTGGGGGCGGTGGCGCCATACGTCTTAGACGGACAAGTATAACAATAGCAGCAGCAGCAGCAGGATGATGACGATGGCGACGATGGTACTGACAGACGCACACACACATGGATGGATGGATGGAAGACGTGCCTTCTCTGTGTCTGTGTGGTCTGCAGATTCCGACGATGAGAATGGCGATGAGGGTGACGATGTGGATGACGGCAGCGGAGAGGGCGACGGAGGTACACAGCCACACACACCACACCACAGAGGCCATCAAATCCATGTCTGTGTATGTGTGGTGCACTCGGCAGGTGAGGATGCCGTAGCTGAGGCGGAGAGCGGCGGCTGATCGATCGATCGATCCATCCATCCATCCATCAACACTGGTAGGTGCGCAGCGACGGACGTCCCTCTGTCATTCACTTGAATGTTGCCCTGACTGGTGTGCGTGTGTGTGTGTCATCAGAAGGGTATATGTTGGGTGCCGGCTGTCGTCATCTCGGTAGTGATCTGTGTCGGTGCAAGACGATTACACCACTCGGTCTGTCGACAGACAGACCAGCTGCTGATATGTGACCGAATGGCTGGCTTGGCTGTGATGTGTGGTGAGGAGTTCCATGCCTCTGATGCATGCGTCAGTCGGGCTATGACTTCGTCTTTTGCCCGTGCGTCCCTCTGTGTAACAATCCCTCCCTCCCTCCCTCCCTCCGTCTGCCTGTGTGGATATGTATCTGCCCGTCCTCATGGCTGGCTGGCTGCCTGTGGGTGTGGCTGTGCGTGAGTGCATCTCGCGCTCTCCGATGCTCGCCGATTCTGATGTGATGTGTGGCTGCCTGGCTGACTCACTGGCCAATGCTCCTTTCTCTCGATGGCTGTGTGTGTGGTGGAGTTTGTCTGCCTATCTGTGTGAGTGAACTGACATTTGCCTGACCGGCAGCACCTTTCCCTTAATTCTGTGTCTGTCCCACTCATTCACGGCAACGAAGTCAGTCACTCGTGCGATTATGTCTAAGCTGTGGGCGGACGGACACCTATGGCCGGCCACACCACACACATATCAACGAAAATGAAAAGTGCAGAAGAGTACAGGCAGGTGAACTCCGACCCAGCGGTCCATCCCATCCCCTCCCCTCATCTCATCTCATCTCATCTCATCTCATGGTGGACCCAGATGCTTCTCTGCCCTCCCGATTCTCCCTCCGTCTGCACCACCGTCATTCCTCGCAATCATCACCATCGCATTTATCTGTCGGCCTGGGCCAGTGGAGCGGCCCAAGGCGACCTGCGTCTGGTCGCTCTTTTGAGACATGCAGCATCCCCACCCCGCCATCAGCCGCATGTGCATGTACCAAATACTCTTTCCCCGTGGGTCTTTTCCTCCTGCTGCCTTTGTCCACCGACGTCTCTCCTTGTGTCCATTCACCAGCCCTCGTCGCACCAGCACCGCCAAGGCAATGAGGTAGAGGTAGCGACCAATATTTCATCTTCCTGCTCAGGACGATGGCCGTCGGGGAGGCGGCGGCTTGCTTCGCTTCTGGCAGTGCGTGCCCACTGCAAGCACCACAAACAGACAGACAGACAGACAGACAGACCGACAGTGGAAGCCGCGAGGGGCGGACAGCATCAACATCATCGCCAGAGGCCAGACCAAAGAGCACATCCGCCCACCTCATTTAGAGAGGGAATGGCATGTCTTTTCATGCCTCAGATCCCTCCCTGCTGCCACTTGGCAGTCTCTGTCGGTGCAGAGACCCATTGGCTGACTGCAGCAGATCGCAATCGATGGCGGCGGCCTGCTGAATGAATGCAGCTGCGGGAGAGCCGTACACAATGATGGCCAGCGGGATAGCCCCAGGGTGACGCATGAAGCCGATCATGCTGCGGAGAGGGGAGAAGGCAGTGCGGCAAAGTGGCCCATTCATGGGATGACGACCTCTCCTCAGTCGGCCGCTGCAGAGCTGCATTTCGGCCTCCTGTAATGAATATTTGGCGTCACTTGTCGATCCTTTCGCGCACAGCTCGCAATTCCGTGAAACGATCCTTGGGCACTCGTTGCCGAGTGCGTTGAAGAGAACTCGTGTGATTCTGACCCGACTACATGGAGCGTTAGGTGAGAGGGGGGCACCAGATGCCACCGGATGGCATCCTGACCCTCTTCGCCTGCCCTCCCGACCTGTGAGGTCAGACGCACGAGACGACTGCGGTGATCAGAGCCCGCCCAGTCACAGGCCACTCCCTCTGGGGGGTCTGACCGGTCCGATGAAAGTGCGCGAGTGCGAGTAACCGGACGGCACAGTGCGGGAGCTGGTGAAGCGGTCCGTTCGCCAGCGATGCCCTCACTATAAACGAAGCCCAGGACCTGCACCGCCACCCCACACGAGGTGGTGACCTCCCCCTCTCTCTCGGCTACACCGCACCATGAAGGTACACACAGCACGGCAGCCGACATGAAAGAATGCATGAGACCAAACAGTGCTCATGTCAGTGTGTGTGTACTTGCCGTTGATGCAGACTGCCGGCATTGCCAAGGCGACAGGCAGCCGCGGAATTATGCAGCTCACTCTCAGCTGGTCATCGCCCACGGCCGCCAAGAAGTCCCCCCGCGACCACTGATGGGCAAGGGAGAGAGAGGAAGGGATGGCGATGTCGGTGAGCCGCTCCCCTGACGAGTCTCGCGACCCCTCCAATCAGCCGACCAACACAACACAACAGCCAACCACTCTGGTGCCACTGGGCACCACCACGTGACCTCTGCCATGCCATCCATCAGGCCACTGCATGAGTGCCCTGTGTGCTGTGGGCCCTTCTTGAGCGCATTTTTGTGTGTGTCAGGTCGCCACTGAGGTGTCGGCAGTCGGGCTGTTAGTGAGTGACATCGATTGCCGACAGGCAAGGCATCCACTGTCAGGCCAAGGCGTGTGTTGGGTGGAGGGGTGTGAATGAGCACACGTGTGTTTGCTCAAATGGTCTCTTTGTCGCTGTGGCTGTGTGTGATGTGTGGACTGCCTGCTCACATTGAAAGATGGAGCATGGTAGGGAGGGAGAGGGAGAGAATGGTGCATGCAGGGCGGGATGTGATAGCAAAGCATCCCTGATGTGTGTGCATGTGAAGGAGTGGATGAAAGGGTGCATGATGGACGGGCTCGTGCCGTACAGACAGATTCGCCGACAGATAACTCAGTCAATGTATTCTCTGTCGGCCTATATTCATATTGTCTGAATGCTACATAGGTCGTCAGTATGTCTGTGAGTCTGTATCTGCCAACACGCACACACATTCACACCCATGCACACATGTAAAACCTCCACACATCCATCTCATCTAAAACGCCCTCCCCGTGCACATCCAATGGATCAGCCACACCCAACAGTGCAACAAATACCTCACACCCACACACACACCCACACACGCGGCCGGGTGTCCGGATGGCTAGACGACGGCAATGTCGACGGGCGGCCTCAGCTGAGCGCACACTCTCATAATGTCGTGAATCTTGTGGCTCTTGAACGATGACATCAGCGACTCATCCAGAGCACCACCTACACACACACACACACACACAGAGAGAGAGAGAGAGAGATGGGTGGACAGGTGTGCACGTGTCTGTAGACCTACCGCTTTCCATTGCCGTGATGGCCTGTTGCATGAGGTTGTAGTGGAACCGCGGCGCCCACTTGCGACTCCTAACCAACGAAAGCAGCCCAACAGACAGACAAGGAGCTGACAGAGAGCAGTAAGCCGCCAGATACCCTTGTAAGCTTACCCTAGTCTGGCAGTGGTGGAGCAGTTGTCGACCATGTAAGCGATGCCCTTGTAGTCGATATATGGGTTGAGCGAGTCGACGGCCTCGATGATGCTCTCGTTGGCCACCTCACTGTAGGCGTGGCCCTTCTCCAGCAACACGTCTACCTGCGCCACCATTATCGCCATATACATACCGGCTGATCGATGGACACACAGACACACGGAAAATGATATGATAAACGGGGAGGATGCAGGCATGCAATCTCTCTCTCTCTCTCTCTCTCTCCCTGGCGCAAGACTTGTGTGCTGCGTGTGTCTACGTACCAGTGGTAGGGTCGATGTCGACTGGCTGTCTGTCCGCCCGCACTCTCTCGCCCACGACCCACATCTCCGTGCCGTCAATCTTGCCCATCGGATACCTCTTGAACCGCTGGTTGGCATCGACGACAGACCCGATCTCCCTGAATGCACTCAACAGCCGTACCGCACATGTGTGTGGCTGTTTCTGGCACCTTCTTCCCAGCCTTCTCACCTGCCCGACTTGACGTCATCATATATCTCCAACAAAGTCTGATGGAGCGACAAGAGCATTCATTCACGACACACACAATGAATACACAGGCGCCCCACCGACCTCTTTGGCAGGGTGGTATGTGGCCGAGTAGGCCTTCTCGAACAGCCGCCTGTCGTCCTCACTCAGCCCCTCATAGACAGCCAGCAGCCCCTCCTTGGAGATCTGCTTAGTGATGGGGCCCGTCAGGCACTCCGCCGCCCGTCTGAAGGCCTCCTCGGGGGTGCTGCCGTGGGCCTTGAAGTAGCTGTAGAGCACCTCGGTCAGCCCGTGAACCGCACCTGTGCGCCCACACACACAGAGAGAGGACAGAGAGAGAGGCACCAACATGTGCATGGTGTGTGTCGTCTACCGAGTAGGATTCCCCTCTCTCCGAAAATGTCTGATGTGTATTCGTCTCTCAATGTGGTGAGGAAAGAGAACGGCGCGCCGATGGCCACGGCCCAGCCCAATGCGATCTCAGTGGCGCGGCCAGTCACATCCTGACAGACATGATGATGGGTGTACGGACACAGACAGTCTTTGTGTGGTGTAGAAAGTGTCTGTGTACTTGGTGTACGGCGAAGGAGCAGTTGATGCCCGCGCCGTTCTTCTCTTTGCCCTGCACATACAGACGCCGGACAGACGGACCCATACCTACACACACACACACACACACAGACACAGACACAGACACAGACACAGACAGGGATGCACAACGGACACGGTGTTGTATGTGGGTGGACATGTGTGAGCACCTTTGGGGCACACAGCGATCACATTGATGTCTGCTGGGAAGGCCTCCCCTCTGCTGTCGAGGTAGCCCAACAGAAACCCGTGACTCAGCCCTACACGCACACACAGACCAGACAGACACAAGCAGACACACAAACCTCCGTTTGTGTGTAATCATGTGCACCATCTGTGCTCGCTCACCGAGAGTGGCGCCCGGCTTCATGGCTTTGAATATCTGCTGGTAGTTCTCCGCCTGTGCCGCATCGGCGATCAACAGCAGCACCAAATCACTGCTGGAAATGACATCATACTGGCCACACACACACACACATTAATACCGGGCAAATGAGTGAGCAGCGCTTTCTCTCCTGTACGTACCATTTCGCCGAGTGTGCCGCTCTCCTTTGTGAAGCCGGCCGCCTCGGCTTTCTTCTCAGATGGAGACCCCTCCCTGCCGACACAGACAGACAGACAGACAGACAGACAGACAGAGAGGGGAATATGGGTGGTGCAACCGCAAGCAAGATGCACCAGGATCGGTCAAGACGCACTCATCCATTCATTCATTCGCTTATCGATTTGTTACCTCAGCCCGACGACCACTTTGACATCGGTGCCCTCGAGCGACTCCCTCAGATTCTGCGCCTGGGCGGGGCCTTGCGAGCTCCAGCCTATCACGCCTATCTGCTTGATGCCTGCACGCACACACAGCCACACACACGCGCCTTATAGCAGTACAATCGCACACAGGCCGATTTCACTTGACTGACCTGCAAAAGCGTCCTTCAGCTTGGGAAACAGGTCCCTCCCGCCCCGCACAATCGACTCCTGCCTGTCCGCCAGGGCGATGGTCTCCTTGTCAAACACACTGGTGACGAAATCGCCATCACCCCTGGCAGCAGCAACAGGCGGCTGCTCGCTGATGACGGCGGCAGACGCACGCAGAGGCATGCGTGGCCCTGCGTGCCGCCTCAGGTGCGTGGCGGGCGGGAAAGTGAAGCACTGCGATGGGCGGGAGAAGCTGAAGAAGATGGAGAAGGCGAGCAGGCAGATCTTCCACGTCGGACTCATAAGCTCGCCGTTCCACAGCATTCTCGACGTGTACAAGGCGACAATGAGCCCTCGCGGCGAAGAGTTTTTGGGAAGGGCAGATCGGCATTCAAGCTCGCAATTGTCGGGAGCAAGGAGTTCGTGAGGACTCTCGCGCATCACAGAATGACGCCATTTCACCGTAGTTTCGGCTTTCTTGGCTTGGCTGCTTCCTCGGCTGTGCTGCTGTTGCTGTTGCTGTGTCTGGGATGGTGTGAGGTGGCTGTAGCGGTGCGGCGGACGGTGGTGCTGAACAAGTACAACATGGAGCAGCACCTCAAGAACAAACCTTACTTTGTCAAATTCTTCGCACCGGTCAGTCACAGCCACAAACTCATTCGCACACACACACGTGTGGCCGTCTGTATGAGTCTGTGTGTTGTTTGTGTATGTGTCAGTGGTGCAGCCACTGCCAGAAGCTGGCTCCCATCTGGGACCAACTCGCCGAAGAGGTCCACAGAGGTGCGTCAGCGAACGGGCACACAGGCGGCACACGTGAAGGTGCGTCTGTGTGTGTGTGTCTGTGTGTGTGTGTGTGTGCCAGAGCGTTTGGACTTCTCTGTGGGCGAGGTGGACTGCGACAAGTACCGGGAGATCTGTGAGGACTACCACGTCGAGGGATACCCAACACTCATACTGTACGCTGCCAACAGTGCAGCAGCCAAATAGGGATGCACACGTCTGATTGATTGTGCTGTCGCGAAATACAGAGCGGTGGATGGCGATCGGTATGTGTACGACGAGGAGCGTGAGGCGACTGCACTGAAGAAGTGGGCCGTGGCCACTCTCAAGAGGCACAGACAGAAAGTCATGGCGTAAGCAAATATGCCAAACGGACAGACAGACAGAATAACAGACAGACAGACAGACAGACATTGGTCGCGTCTGTGTGTGCGTGTGCGTGTCCAGCCGAGCCTATGACGATGCCAAGAGGGCCGACAAGCAGCGGAGAGAGGCCGCCGCCAAGGAAACCGCACAACTCGGCGCAGCCAAGGTGTGTGCCACTAGTGCAGTACCCGGCTTCCATGAATCCATCCATCCATCCATTTATCCATGTGTGATGTGTGGTCTGTCTGTCTAGACGTTTTACGAGGCGTCGATCCGTGCCTTGACGGTTTATCTGCACGTCCTGCTGGCGGTGGTGCTCATTGTGGTCGGCATGTCACTCTGGATCGTCGTCTCTGAGATCATCGAACACCGAAAGAACGCCGTAAGCCAACCAAGCCAACCAAACAGCCGCCACACCAGACACCTTACCCCTTCTGTATGTGCAGGCGTGGTACAGCGAGATTAAGGTGCGCCCCGCCGGTACCTCACTCTCCCCGCCCCCCACTGCTGACGATGCCCGGCTACCCACCACTGCCGGCCCTGCCAATGTGCCCGTCACGACCATTTCCTCGTCCACACAACAGAGTGACAGCCACGCCACGGGGGGTGTGGTGAGGGAGAGGGGCCATGGGGCGGGTGGGCAGGGCGGCGGGAGCGATCCCGGTGGGGCGGGTGGGGGGACACGCAGCAGCAGCACGGCCGAGAGATGACCACAGGATGGGCTGGGCGGGGAGAGAAGAAGAGGGGCCGCGTGTGAGTGTGTGTGTGGACGTGTGCGTCTGCCAGTTAATTAGTCCGCCGAGCAGCAAAGGTGTGGGTTGTTTTTCAGTGGTTGTCAGTGTGCTGTATGTGTGTGTCGTGTGTAGTGCTGGTTGGTTGTACATATCCATTGAATTCATGCGGACGGACGGACATCGATATCATGGCATCAACTTGTGTCGCACGTCTGTATGCATCACACCTGCACACACGCCAAGATGTACGCTGTACACGTGACAGACACCGGGATGTGTCACGTGACTCCAGGCACTCAGCACCAGAAACAATGTCATGTCGAGCATTTGGCACCCTCAAGGATAGCATGCAGCCTCCCCACCCCGCCATCATCTGCATGTGTGTCAATCAGATACTCATTCGCCCAAAAGTCAGCCCTGCCGCCCCTGCCTCGCTTCTCCTCCCTGACTCTCTGCATGGCCTCTGCCTCTGGGGTCCATAACATAACTGTTGCGCTCGTGCACTGACGTCTCTCCCCGTGTCCGTTCACCACCCCCCGGTGCACCGGCGCCTCCATGGCAATGAGATTGAAGTAGCGATCACCAGGCAGCGAGACGGCGAGCAAATCAAAGTCATCCCCATCGTACAGCTGAAAGATGCGGCGCCCTTCTTTCTTGCCGGCGCCCTTGCGAAGAACGACGCAATATGAGCCGTTGTTGTTGCCGGAGTGAAGGGGCGCCAGTTTGTGCTGAATGAGGAATTTCTTCCCATTCCACCGCCAGACGGAATCAACAGGTGTGCTCTCGTAGATGAGCTCCTGACGGACCTCCACACCAGCAGCATACAGCAGCGGGGCCCACGCGGCAATGGATGCCTCGCCCTTCCGGCTGGTCTCTGTGCGCCGCTTCGTGACATTCGTCAGCGAGTCCTTGATGAAGAAACGGTCCTGATAGGCCAGCAGCAGCTTGTGCGACAGAGATGCCGGCCCATCAAGCTCTGTGGAGCACCGGAAGCTCTCATGGTCCCACTTGCCATTCTCACACACAGTGAGTTTCCCACATCCACCCCTCTGCTGCAGTATGGATCCGCTGTAGCACCAGATGCGGAAGTCCGAAAGAGCCACACAGACGACCGCCATGCCGGGATATTGGTGAACACCATTAAAGAACCAAAAGCCGTAGTTGGTCTTCTCCCCGCATGTCTTGACTTGCACCGGTAGCCACAGATCTTCACCCACACCAAAGGGCCGGACAGCGAGGTCCGCATGGGCCATCTCATAGGTCCTCTCTACAACAAACCGTCGCCTCAGCAGATCCATCACACACTGCACACCCGAGTTGCTGATGAGCCTCCGTTGCCTCTTCTGCCACCGCTGCAAGAGGACGTCATGGTCGGTGCTTGTGAAGAGGCGGCGGTGCTGCTGCTGCTGCTGCTGCAATGGAGTGGTGAAGAGAGGGAGGGCCGTGCTGGCGCCGAGCGCAGTAAACCGGTAGGAACCCAGCAGATATTGATGGCGAGAGGCGGAAGCGACGCCCGCTTGCGTCGGCAAGACAGCCACCACTCGCCGATGGAGATGAGAAGACAGGCGCCACGACGAGAAGCGACGCGAGAGGGGCATGCTGGAGGCGGGAGTCTTCAGAGTCGAGTCGAATAGTTTGGAGAGATCCTGGGAGAGGCGAGATTTACGAGACGAGGACCAGGGTGTGAAGTTCAAGACCCCGCACCACTACTGTTCAGATGAGCAAGCCTGGCCGCCCCCTGACGCACCTGCAATGGGAAAAGGCCTGGACAAAAAGCGATCGGCAAATGAGTGCGAGCTTAGACATGACAGGAGAGAGAGATCGCGTTTTTTTTTGCCGTTCTGTCCCATCTTGGCTTCTGTCTTTGTCGTTTTGTCGAGAGAAGAGCTTGCATAACCGCGACAGTAGCACTCGTCTTTTCTCGTCTGTTTTTTGTCGACTGTGCTTGTGATCCCTGCGCACCAGTGACGATGGTAAGCTCTCTTGCCAACACACACACACACATTGTGTCAATCACCTCTCTCTGCATGACGTGTGTTTAGGTGAACTTCACAGTGGATCAGATTAGGGAGATCATGGACAGGCCCAAGAACGTTCGCTGCCTGTCTGTCATCGCACAGTAAGGAAACCACCAACGCAGGCAGCCAGCCATCCACACACACACACACACACAGAATCATGATGACCACTGTTGTGCTGCCTCAATCATCAGTGTTGACCACGGCAAGTCGACCCTCACCGACTCTTTGGTGAGCAAGGCCGGCATCATCGCGTCGAGGGCGGCTGGCGACGTCCGCTTCACCGACGTCCGACAGGACGAGCAGGAGCGGTGCATCACCATCAAGTCAACCGGCATCTCACTCTACTTCGAGGCGGACTTGGAGGACGACAAGGGCCAACAGCCGTTCCTCATCAAGTAAACTATACACACACAGCACAGCCACACACGTGAGTCTCAAGACAGCACATCCATCCATCCATGTGTGTGTGTGTGTGTGTTTGCCATCCATGTGAGCAGTTTGATCGACTCGCCGGGCCACGTGGATTTTTCGTCCGAGGTGACGGCGGCGTTGCGTGTGACGGACGGTGCGTTGGTGGTGGTGGACACCGTTGAGGGCGTCTGCGCCCAGACCGAGACGGTGCTGCGTCAGGCACTGCAGGAGCGGGTCCGCCCGGTGCTGCACGTCAACAAGGTCGACAGGGCAATCCTCGAGCTGCAGATGGACGGAGAGGACATCTACCAGGTATCTGAAGGCCGCACACACGTACAGGCAGGCAGACAGGCAGGCAATGGGGCAGTGGAGCGGGGGCACAAGCAAGCACACGACTGTTGGCTGAACGCCTCCCTGTGTGTGTGTGTGTGTGTGTGTTGTGCAGAAGTTTAAGCGTGCGATAGAGAGCGTCAATGTGGTCATCGCCACCTACAATGATGATTTCATGGGCGACGCCCAGATCTACCCTGAGCAGGTCTGTACAACACACACACGCACACACACACACACACACCCCGACCAAACAACCGACCCACCACGTGTGTGTGTGTGTGTGGCAGGGTACCGTGAGCTTTGGGTCAGGTCTGCAGGGGTGGGCCTTCACGATTGACGTGTTCGCCAGGATCTACGCCAAAAAGTACGGCGTCGAGAAGGACAAGATGATGCAGGTAGGCAGGCAGGCAGGCAGTGATCAGAGGAGCAGCCCACGACCAGCATGTGTGTGCGTATTACAGCGTTTGTGGGGCGACAACTACTTCAATCCCCGGACAAAGAGGTGGTCCAGGACTGCCGACAATGAGAGCCGCCGCGGATTCTGTGAGCTCATTATGGACCCCATCTGCCAAGTCTTCACCAGGTAGGCGTCTTCCTGATCAAATGCGCAACACAGGCAGGCCAGCAACTCCTCTCTCTCTCTCTCTCCCTCTGTGTGTGTGTGTGTGTGCGTGTGTGATCCGGCGGCACCCACCAGTATCATGACTGACGACAAGGAGAAGTACACCAAGTTCCTCGAGAACATGGGGGTCGTCCTCAAAGGTATGTATCACATCACACCGCACCCGACTGTACCCTCCTCACCTTAAGCCCTCCCTCCCTCCCTCCCTGTGTGTGTGTGTGATATGCAGCGGCCGACAAGGAGAAGACGGGCAAGGCGTTGCTGAAGTGTGTGATGCAGGAGTGGCTCAGTGCGGGCGACACACTGCTCAACATGATCGTCGCGCACCTGCCCTCGCCAGTCGAGGCGCAGCGGTACCGCGTGGCCAGCCTCTATGAGGGGCCTATGGACGACGAAGCCGCCAACGCCATCAGGTAGTCCGCACACACACACACACACACACACAGAGGGTGGCGGAGGGGTGGGTGCATCCATGTGTGTGTGTGTGTGTGTGTGTGTGCAGGAATTGTGACCCGAACGGCCCCTTGATGATGTACGTGTCTAAGATGGTGCCAGCCAACGAGAAGGGCCGCTTCTATGCGTTCGGTCGGGTGTTTTCGGGCACGATTGCGACGGGCCAGAAGGTGCGCATCCAGGGGCCGCACTACGTGCCGGGCGGCAAGGAGGACGTGACGGTCAAAAACATTCAGCGAACTGTGCTCATGATGGGCAACAAATTCCACAGGGTCAGCCACACACATACACAAGTAGACGAGACGCGGTGACACATGTTATGTGTTATGCTGATGGACAGGTGGAGGATGTTCCGTGCGGCAATACAGTCGCCCTTGTCGGAGTCGACCAGTAGGCCAGCAAACACCCCACACACAGACAGACAGACACCCACAGACACCTGGCCGTCTCGATGGATGACGCACAATAGGTACCTTCTCAAGTCGGGGACGATCACCACATGGGATCAGGCGCACAACGTCACCGACATGAAGTACAGCGTGTCGCCTGTGGTGCGCGTGGCCGTCAAGCCCAAAGACCCAAAGGAGCTTCCCAAGCTGGTTGAGGGCCTCAGGCGCCTCTCCAAGTCGGACCCGCTCGTCGTCTGCACAACTGAGGAATCCGGCGAGCACATCGTCGCAGGTAAGTACCGACACACACACGCACACACACACACACACCGCTGTGTTGGTTGTTAGGTTGCGGTGATCTGCACATTGAGATCTGCATCAAGGACCTGAGGGAGGAGTACGCCCAGATCGACATCGACGTGTCGGACCCCATCGTGTCCTACCGCGAGACGGTGTCCCAGAGCTCATCCCAGGTGTGCCTGGCCAAATCAGCCAACAAACTAAACCGACTCTTCTGCACGGTAGCCTGCACACACACACACACACACACACACACAACCGTGGCAGCAACAGGACAGAACGGCTAACAGCGGGTCTCTCTATTCCTCTGTGTCTGTGTGTGTGTGTGTGTGCTTGCAGGCTGAGCCATTTCCGGATGGATTGGCTGACGACATCGACAAGGGCATCATCACGGCGCGCGACGACCCCAAAGAGCGGGCAAGGGTCCTTACGGAGAAGTACAACTGGGTAGCCAATCCAACGCCCTCAACACACACACACACACACACACACACACAGAGAGAGAGACAGAGACGGCCTGGACGACCGGCACATCAGCCAACATTGCCACTGTCTGTCTGTCTGTCTGTCTGTCGTGTTGGTGTCAGGACAAGAACGATGGCCTCAAAATATGGTGTTTCGGGCCCGAGACCACCGGACCAAACGTCCTCATTGACAAGACCACAGGCACGCATTCACACACACATACCCTGCCCTCTTTCTCTCTCACTCCCTCCATCTTTGTGTCTGTCTGTCTGTCTGTCTGTGTGTGCAGGTGTCCAGTATATGAACGAGATCAAGGACCACTGCGCCAGCGGCCTGCAGTGGGCCACCAAGGATGGCGTCCTGTGCGAGGAGACTGTGCGGGGCGTCCGGTTCAATATCCTGGATGCAAAGATACACTCAGACGCCCCACACAGGTGTGTCTGTCTGCACACACACACACACACACACACACACACATACATATAGACACACATGTCCCAATCAATGGCTGGCGCGGTGCACGCACCTTTCTCTCGCCCTTGTGTGTGTGTGTGTGTGTGTGACATACAGGGGCGGCGGTCAGATTGTGCCCGCGATGCGTCGTGTGTGCTACGCCGCTGAGATGCTGGCGGCCCCGCGGCTGCTGGAGCCCATCTTCCTCGTCGACATCACCTGCACACAGGTAGGTACACACATACACACAGGCCTGCCTGCCTGCCTGCCTGTGGCTCACTCAGTGGCTTCATGGCTGCATTTCTTCTCTCCATGAATCAATCAGGCTGAGGTGGGCGGCATCTACAGCACCCTCAACCAGCGCCGCGGCCACGTCATCTCTGAGCTACAGAAGGAGGGGACGCCACTCGTCAACGTCAAGGCGCACCTGCCCGTTGCCAAGTCATTCGGTCGGACACACGCACACGCACACGCACACACACACACACATATACATGGTATATATATCACCCCATTGCCTGCGGGCGATAGATGAGATGAGTGTGTGTCATCTTATGGTGTGGTGTGCAGGGTTCACAACGGATCTGCGTTTGGCGACGGGCGGCAAGGCGTTCCCCCAGTGTGTGTTCGATCACTGGGCGGTGGTCCAGGGCGACCCCCTCGAGAAGGGCGGCAAGACCGAGGAGCTCGTCAAGGCCATCCGGAGGCGCAAGAATCTCAAAGAGGACATACCATCACTCGACAACTTCCTCGACAAGCTCTGATTGAGCGACAGACAGAGGCCCTCCTGGCTGCGTGCCTATGTGTGTGTAAGCGCTGTGTGTGGTGGCGGGGAGGGATGGGTGGAAGGGGTTTCAGCTGTGTGTGTGTGTGTAATGCATCTTGTGGCTGACGGTATGCATGGCCCAATCAACGGTATATGTTACATGGCCAGGTGTCATACTGGCTGCCGGGGTCGTCTCGCCACTGTCTCGCCAGCCAGCTGTGTGGGTGTGGGTGTGGGTGTGGGTGTGTGCAATGGCAATGTGTGGGTGTTTTCCTTGTATGTTATGTATAGGTGTGTTTTTCTGTGGGTGTGGGTGCGCCTGATTGATTGGTGTCGTAGGAAAGGTCTTCCTTTCTCTTGGTTGGTTGGCGTACGTGACATGTCTACACACACACAGGGGAAGTGGCAGACAGGCAGGCAGGCTGACAGTGTGTGTGTGAGTGTGTCGGTGTCTCTATCAGTGAATGTACTTTTGACTGGTATAGTGCACTCCCCTCCCTGCCTCCCAGCTGGCTGCTGTCTTCTGTCTCTCTCTGTGAGTCCGTGGCGTGATAGATCTGTCTGTCCCACCGCATGTGTGTGTGTGCGTGTGTGCGTGTGCGTGAGCTACCTAGGTAGCCGGAGAGGATCTGCGAGCCAATCCCTTTTGTTGAAGTCAGAACGAACAGGCTGTGTGTATGCGTGTGTTGAATGGAATGTCTGTCGTGGGGGTGGGTGTATGGTCATATCGTGTCGTGTGCGTTGGAGTGGTGTGTATTATGTATCTGTCGTGTGTGCGCCTGTATCTCTCTCTCTCTCTCTCTGTCTGCCGCATGCCGGCCGTGTCGGGTGCGGTGCTGTGCAGCCGGTGGGGGCTCGGCGCTTCTTGATGGGACAGCTATGTGTGTGTGAGTGTATTTGTGCGTGTATTGCGTGTGGGTGTTCGTGTGTGGCTGTCCAGCCGGGTTATGTGTGTGTATGTGTGTGTGTGTGATGGACGAATGACGAGTGAATAGAGTCCACTGAGGGGATGAATGGATTGTGTGTGAATGAACAGACGCCGCATCGTGTGATGTGGAGTGTACAGGCAGCAACCAGCTTCATCGGTCACCCATCCAAGCATTCTCGGTCACTCTGTCACGCCATCCATCCATCCATCCGTTCGTTCATCCCAGCAGACAGACAGACAGGGAGGCAGGCCAGCCATAGTTGCGCCGTGGATCACATCCTGGCACGCACCATCCGTCCATGGCAACATGTACTCATCAGTTCGACTACTACGGGGCAGCACGATGCAATGACGGCTGGCTGGGCTGGGGAGGATATCCGTGTGCTGGCGCTTCGGCTCACGGAAAAAGCACACAAAGAAGCGGCGGTCGATTTAGCAGCACGCACGTACCTGCCTTGGCCACGGAAAATTCGATTGCCTGTTTGTTTTCGGGGCAACCAATCGTTTGTTGCCGAGCAACACTTGTTCACACGCTCATATTATACACAGTACGCGTCACACACCTGACACAACGAATGAAACGACGCTTGTCTCACCCTACGTCTCAAAGGGCAAACACCCTACTGTACATATGAAATGCAGCAAACGCTTCGCAGACAACAAATACGTCGCAAGTGTGGTGGGTGTGGTAGTCGAATGATCAGATCACCCCGACGCACAGAGATGCAGCCGTGCTGCGCTGATGCATCCATCGGTGGCGGACAGTCTCTCTCGCTACCCAACAGTCGCTGCCCACTGCCCAACAGTCGCTGCCCAACAGTCTACCGCCCACAACACACCATATGGCAACAGGAACAGATAGCAGGCAGGAGTCATCAATCGACGCACGTGTCGTTGGCTGGTTATCGGTGGCGGCTGCCCGCAAGACCTCTTGAATGAATGTGCTCTCGGACGGCCCCGGGGCACGGTATGTATGTCGGGCGACTAGTCGTATATGGGAACGGGCAGACCGATAGGGAAAAGGAGCGCCCATCGAACAGGCCCTGAAACAAACCACGCCACAACACACATACAGGGAGAGACCATGTGCCCATCCAGCCCATAGGTGTAGCTTTCGATCTTCCCATTTATTTCGTCTCACTTGGCGCTCGCTTGATGAAGAAGCGTATCGGATTGCGGCCGCAGTCGCCCACATTCTTGAACGCTTCAGCCACAGTGTCGGCAACGCTGATGGATTGGTTCTGCAGAAGGACGTTTCCTGGGTTGATGTACCCAGCTGGGTAGCGAGGCAACGCCTTGACCTCTCTGCACAGCGCTCCCACCTTGGCGTCCGCCGGAACTCGTCGAGGCGGCCCTCTGAATGCTGCGCAGCAGGTAAGGGGGCTGACTGATCCCACGGTGCCACCGTGCCACAGAAGGCAGAGTGCGGACAGAGGGGCGAAGGAATGCGGCGCCGGCGCCAACCTGCAGATCGACAGACACACACAGAACAAACACGAACCAAGAGGTGAGGGCTCCACAGACACATGCCATGCGATGCGTTCACGCCTTCTCCCAAAATCCCCCGGCATCTATCTCCACCCACCAGCGTGTTGCTGCGTCCTGTCGATGGCGAGTGCGCAGTCAACCAGGGCACCATAACGGCCAGCAAGGCCAGAGTGACGCGACAAGAGATCCGGCTGTCCATGGCGGCCACCCCGGGAGCTCCACACAGCATCTTCAACATGGGCGCCAAGAGGTTCATCATGGGCGAAGAGACGGATCTGGAAGCAGCTTATTCCTTTCGCCTGCAAGCAAAGCGCGCACAAACCCTGGTAGCAAAACCCTGCTATGCAAAAAGTGGTCCACACACTCCTGCATATGCCATGCAGCACCGCCACGCGCGGCCTCCTACCCACACGACCACCTAAACCCAACATCGACGCCCGTCCCTTTAGGTGGATGGACCACAGTGCAGGGAGTGCACTAGCTAATAGAACACCCAATCACGGCACAGCACAGCGCGTAGCATGCAGGATAAGAGGGTAGCTAAGCCGCACGCGAGCCGCCCAGCCAATCCCCCGTTCGTCAGCCACAAAACAAACAAGTCCGAGAGGGGCGGTGCGGTGAGTCAGTCGAGAAGAATGATGCATGCATGCCTTGCAAACTATCCTGGCATGCATCATTCTCCTCGCTTCCTCCCTCCCTCTCCATCTAGCCTTCGGTCTGTCACCTCTTGAGCCGCAGGATGACATGAATCGTCGAGCCGTCCACCACGCCGGAGTCCGTCAGCGGGCAACCATCATCCAGCTGCCTGGCAATATGTATAATTTGCCGACGGACGGCAGCTATGGTCCTTCTCAACACCCTTCTGCACACACACATCACATACAACCACACCAAAAGATAGACCAGTGCTCATTCACACCCTCCACCCAATAAATGCCTTTGAATGACAATGGTTGATTTGCCTCTTGGCAATGAACGTCGCTCACCAACAGCCCGACTGCCGACACCTCAGTGGCGACCTGACACACACACACACACACACACACATGCGCTCACAGAGGGCCCACAGGATACACGGCACACATGCAGTCAGGGCCCTGATGGATGGCATGGCAGGGGTCACGTGGTGGTGCCCAGTGGCACCAGAGTGGTTGGCTGTTGTGTTGTGTTGGTCAGCTGATTGGAGGGGTCGCGAGACTCGTCAGGGGAGCGGCTCAGCGACATCGCCATCCCTTCCTCTCTCTCCCTTGCCCATCAGTGGTCGCGGGGGGACTTCTTGGTCTTCTTGGGCGATGACCAGCTGAGAGTGAGCTGCATAATTCCGCGGCTGCCTGTCGCCTTGGCAATGCCGGCAGTCTGCATCAGCAGCAAGTACACACACAACGACATGAGCACATGTTTGGTCTCGTGCATTCAAGTGTCGTGTCGGCTGCTGTGCTGTGTGTACCTTCATGGTGCGGTGTAGCCGAGAGAGAGGGGGAGGTCACCACCTCGTGTGGGGTGGCGGTGCAGGTCCTGGACTTCGTTTATAGTGAGGGCATCGCTGGCGAACGGACCGCTTCACCAGCTCCCGCACTGTGCCGTCCGATTACTCGCACTGGCGCACTTTCATCGGACTGGTCAGACCCCCCCCGAGAGGAGTGGCCTGTGACTGGGCGGGCTCTGATCACCGCAGTCGTCTCGTGCGTCTGACCTCAGAGGTCGGGAGGGCAGGCCAAGAGGGTCAGGATCCATCCGGCGGCATCTCGTGGTCCCCCTGTCACCCAACGCTCCAGGTAATCGGGTCAGAACCACACGAGTTGTCTTCAATGCACTCGGCAACGAGTGCCCAAGGATCGTTTCACGGAATTGCGAGCTGTGCGCCAAAGATCGACAACGGCGCCAAATATTCATTACAGGAGGCCGAAATGCAGCTCTGCAGCGGCCGACTGAGGAGATGTCGTCATCCCATGAATGGGCCACTTTGCCGCACTGCCTTCTTCCCTCTCCGCAGCATGATCTGCCTCGTGCATCAGCCCTGGGGCTATCCCGCTGGCCATCATTATGTACGGCTCTCCCGCAGCTGCATTCATTCAGCAGGCCGCCGCCATCCATTGCGATCTGCTGCAGCCAGCCAATGGGTCTCTGCACCGAAAGCTGCGAAGATCAGAGGCAGCAGGAGGGATCTGAGGCATGAATGCCGGGATATGCCATTCCCTCTCTTCATGAGGTGGTTGGATGTGCTCTTTGATCTGGCCTCTGGCGATGATGGTGATGCTGTCCGCCCCTCGCGCCTTCCACTGTCTGTCTGTCTGTCTGTTTGTGGTGCTTGCAGTGGGCAGGCAGAAGCGAAGCAAGCCTGCCGCCTCGGCCGCCCCTCCCCGGCGGCCATCGTCCTGAGCAGGAAGATGCAGTGGCCGCTACTTCAACCTCATTGCCATGGACGTGCTGGTGCAACGAGGCTGGTCAATGGACACAAGGAGAGACGCTGGTGCACAAATGCAGCAGGAGGAGCCACGGGGCAAGAGTATTTGGTAAATGCACACGCGGCTGATGGCGGGGTGGGGAAGCTGCATGATGTCAGGAGAGAGACCCGCTCGTAATTGTTGCAGTGGAGCATCATGACGCAGGTCGCGTTGGGCCACTGCCGAGGCTGGGTCCACCATGAGATGAGATGAGGGGAGGGGAGGCGATGGGATGGGATGGGATGGGATGGAATGGACCGCTGGGTTGCTGTTCACCTGCCTGTACTTTTCTGTACTTTTCATTTTCGTTGATATGTGTGTGGTCTGGCCATAGGTGTCCGCCCGCCCACAGCTCAGACACAATCGCACGAGTGACTGACTTCATTGCAATGAATGAGTGTGTGAGACACAGAATTAAGGGAAAGGTGCTGCCGGTCAGGCAAATGTCAGTTCACTCACACACATAGGCAGACAAACTCCACCACACAGCCATCGAGAGAGAGACGGCATTGGCGAGTGAGTCAGCCAGGCAGCCACACACAGTCGCACATCGGCCGGAGCATCACACCAAATCGGCCGGCAGACAGGATGACCGCCCCCACACCCACACCCACTCACACCCACAGGCAGCCAGCCATGAGGACGGGCAGATATCTCTTCCTACAGACAGACATACAGAGAGGGAGAGGGAGGGAGAGAGGGCTACACGCAGGGAAGAGAGACGCACGGGCAAAAAGGCCAAGCCATAGACCCCCTGAACTGATGCATGCATCAGAGCCAAGCCAGCCATTCAGTCACCCATCAGCAGCTGGTCTGTCTGTCAACAAAGTGATCGGTATGCGATTCGTTTTGCCCACAAACGGATTGGCTACAGAGATGACGACAGCCGGCACCCAAGAGATACCCTCCTGATGACAGACGCACACACACCAATCAGGATGACATTCAGCCGCATAACAGAGGATGTGCATCGCTGCTCACCCACCAGTGTTGACTGATGGATCGATCAGTCGCCGCTCTCCGCCTCAGCTGCGCCATCGTCACCTGTCGAAGGCACAGGACACACACACACATGCATGTGATGCAGGTCGACGTGAGGACCTCTTTGCTGTGTGTGACTGTGTACCCCCGTCGCCCTCTCCGCTGCCGTCATTCATATCGCCGCTCTCATCGTCACCATCGTCGGCATCTGCTGACCACTCACACACAGAGAGAGAGAAGGCACGTCATCCATCCATCCATCCATCCATGTGTGTGTCCTTATTCTATTGTATCGTCGCTGTCGTCATCCTGCTGCTGCTGCTGCTGCTGGTATACTTGTCCGTCGAAGACGTATGGCGCCACCGCCCCCAACGCCACGCGAGCCAGCTGAGTGGTCACCGGGAAGCGGTGCTTGAAGGCGCCACTCCTACACACAGCCGCCTCAGTAGTCACGACACGCACATCCACTGCACACAAGGCAAAGAAGAATGCGTGACATCTGGCCATTAACAATCTGCCACTCTAACCGTCGTTGTTTCCTGCTTGCTGGATCTGAATCCGTGCGACGAAGTTGTGGTTGCTGTCGGTTAGCACCAGCCATCGGTCACCGCCGCAGCTGACTGTGGTCGTACAGCCGGCCACCGGTGTGTGGGGCGACTCGGTCAGCAGGTCATCCAGACGGTCGCCACCAACATACCTGAACCAACCACACACACAACCAACGGCTTTCCTCTCTTGCCACTGGTGCCATCGGTGTGTTGTCACCTGTTGAGTGTGATCGATGTGCGGTTGGTCTGGTGAGTCTCGCGGAAGTGGTCGAGGACTATGAACTTGGCAAACGACGACACTGACGCATGGGTGTACAGGCCATAAGCAGCCGACACCCATCCGGCGTTGGCGGTCGAGTAGATGATGCCCTCACGCACTGGTGGGTCGTGTGGCTGTCGGTGCTGCCGATACAGGTGGCCGGCGAGGAGGGGCGGGTCGACCTCAAGACGGAAGTCGGGCTCGTCTCTGATGGCCCTCACCTCACCATTGCCGTGTTGAAACAGCTGCAGGCAGCTGTCGTCACTGAAGTGGACGTGGCGGCCGACCATCTTGAGCTGCGCCAACACACGGGGAGCCGACACATACGCCTACACACACGACCACACACACAGACAGAGAGACAGACAGAGAGAATCAGGCCCTCTGCCTCCCCTCCCCGCCCCTCTGTTTGCTGGCTCACCGTTTTGTTTGTGTGTGTGTTGATGTCATCGGCTGTGAGGATGACAGGCAGGTCACAGCAGCCGCACTGCCCCGCCAGCTCAATCACCTCGGCCATCTCGTCCCAACCCCCCTCCTCCACCACACACACAGCCGCCAGCAGATCGTGTGTGCCGAACTGGTCGTCGTCGAACCGCAGCAACTGCACTTGCTGCCC